TTAGTTTTTCTTGTATATATTTTTGGCTATAGTATATATTTTTAATCTCGGCTAGACTATATAAAGGAATCTTGAATTCTGTTTGGTCTAGCTCAGATACATTAGATTAGACTGAACCTGAATGTAATGTATTTGAAATTTGATTAAATAAATAAAACTATGCTATTGGCTATCATGAAATAAGGGAAATTAGGTTTTCTTATTGGAGGCTAGGGCTGAATAAGAGGGGAGGTCAAAATGCTTTATTTTGAAGAAAGCTGATTCCTCATTGTTTTTCATAGAAGAGTCATGCATTTCTTGTTGTGTGAAAGGGGGCAGGACTACAATAATTGTTAATTTTAATTTTAAACCTTCCCTGCTAGCAGAGCCTATTTTCCCTTTGTTTTGGAGGGAGAAAAATAGGCTTTGCCGATGTAGGGCATTATACTTGTTGTGCAGGTGATGCGTGACTTAGCAACGCTGTCATCATTTTGACAGCCACCTTGTCAAATAATGTTTGGGCCAAATTTGCTCACGAGCACTACATGTACCCAGTTAATAACAGGTTTTAAGACTGGTTTCCTTCGTCCATGATCATGGACAGCGGCAGAGCCTATTTTTTTTCCTCCAAACCAAAAGGAAAATAGGCTCTGCTAGCAGGGAAAGGAAATCCAGAAGGGCCCCATGAAAAATCCTTACAGCATATAGGAGAGAACAACACAACAAACAAACTAAATAATTTATGATAAAGCACAAGAAAAAGTTAAATAAGTTTAGGATCACCACACAAAGCTACAAAAATTGGTTATGGGCTTTTTTTAACAAAATGTCAAATGTCAGRGCCTCCAGAAATACATATTGTATGGAAGCTGACACTTCATTGGTTTTCATTGAATGGGCAGTTTAACTGCCAACTGGTTGGCTCAGTTGGTTGAGTATTGTACTTTCGTGCAGGAGGTCGAGGCTTGAGTCCAAGCCGGACCAACACTCAGGGTCTTAAAATAAATGAGGAGAAAGTGCTGCCTTTGTAATTACATCTGCAAATGGTTAGACTTTCAAGTGGAGGGACGTAAAAAAACCACTGATGATGTAAAGAAACCCTGGCAGTGACCACACTCAGTGCCTACACTTCATACTAACCATCTCTCATGCTTATTGCATAAAAAGCAATCTGTCCAGCAGGATCTGGGACAGATGCTAATGAGAGCTACAAAGGAAACAATGAGGAAACTATAGGCTTACCTTTGTTAGTGATGAAACCAGGAGGATAAAAGTAAAATGGTATTTTGCCTTCCACAGCAAGTCTGAGGATACTGTTTGCTGAAACATGCACAAGTTACAGTCAAATCCACCATYATATAGTATTACATCACTGTTTTTATTTAGTTTTCTAGTGACCTGTACCTATAGGTTACAGGTTGCTAAAATAACAGATTCAACATAGTTGAAATATATTTTTTTAAGTATTTTAAATTGAATATGGTTTGATAAGCCATTTTACAAATAAAAAAAAAAAAAGGAGAGACTGATATAAAAAAATGTCAACATTTTTCTAACCTGTACTAGATAGTGTTTATAGTCAAATAATAAATAATTAATATCCTAAAACAATTTTTGGCTCAGCTGCCCATTCATGTATTCAATTAATATCATATAATGCAAACTTTGGCATTCGACCAGAAATACTTTCCCTTATTTACATTCTTCATTTATTATAAGTGGTAAAAATAATGCTGTTAACAAACCAGCTCGATATGTGTCATTTCTTCCAGCTTTGGCAGTTAAATATCCTCTTTGTTCTGCCCAGGCTACAGGGGAGGAAATATTTGAAAACATTAGTGGGAAGTGATGTAGTGTGTACTGTTAATTAATGCGCTGCTCCTCGCCAATATGACCCAGGTTCATTTCCCGCGCTTGTTGTTGGTTCTCTTCAGTCATGTGCTTCTAGGATCTTTCCTTCAGGTGGTCTGATGTTTCCTCAGCACAGCCTGAAAAATCAAGGACTTAACCATCTGAAAGTGCTATCTGGCCCAGGAGTTTATTCAAACCTGGTGTTTACTCCAAACTTGCCACTTAAGTAAATACTTGTGCGTATGCTTGTTCTGACAGGCTAGAACTGTGCTCTATTGATGACAGAGCACATAGCCTGCCTCACATCCGGATTTTTCTTCGTGAATACTATTTACGAAGAAAATTCTGGATGTGACGCAGGCTACAGAGCACACACAGGTGTTGCCATTTTTATGTTCACATGCTGGCTTGTTTTGCAAAGTGAAAGAAAATTATTATGAAAATTAAGATCAGGGACTTAATATGAAAAGTGAAGGGGTACAAGATGGGAGCATTATAAAATTTGAATTTAGGCTACTAACAGTTGAATCCACAAAACTTTGGCCACTTTGATTCTGAAGTTTGTTTCCAAGTCCCCAAGTTGGTACCAAACTTGTGAACTTCATTGTGAACTTGGTTTGATGAGTCTTTGAAGCACTATATTATCAGTTTGAATGAACACTGACAACTTTGGAACTTCAATTAGTGAATTTAAATGACAATCAAGTTACAAACTTGCAAACAAACTTCAGCTTAAACAAAGTGGCCAAAGTTTTGTGAAATGAACTGTCAGTAATACTACAGTACCATCACAGACATCCCATGCTGACCAAGGATGGTCCTTTCTTCCTGCAGCATGTCTCTTTTCCTCATCATTCAAAGCCTCATTATCTATGGGATGAATAAGCTGTAACTGTTGAATAACTGGCCATCTTGCCGCCAAGTAACCAATTGAAGTGTAAGGCTCTTTGACTTGAGATACAGGGTAAAGGCCTGCAAGGATCTGCATGTTTAAGAAGAAACTCACAATTACTCACAATCATGAATGGTGAGATATGAACTACTTGCTAAATTGAATCTAGTGCCAATACCAATCCGACTTGATCTCAACAGAATGATGCAGGGATAAGGAGTTAGAGCAATCAACCCTCTGTGCATTGTTCTAAATTATTGTTCAAACACAAGGTTCAGTATTGCTGATTCTATCAAACAATATCAAGCAAATTACATATTTTTCTTTATAGCCATCTCTTACTTGCAACAACAGTTTTATTTGCTGGATCACATTTTTTTAAAGGACAAAATGAAAATGCAATAAATTAAGTTATTTTAAAATGATGTCAATTTATTTGATAATTCAAAACCCCAGAGACCAGATTACCTTAAAGTGCTTATAAGCCTTTACACAATATTTTCAGATTCGATTCTTTACATAGTGGATAGTTGATTGTGAAAATATTTTGTCATTTGAATGTCGGGTCTTTAAGATACGAAGGTTTATATTCCCAATATGTTAATGACTATGACGTAACGTAAGGGATCATTTAATATACAACACTGCACTCATTCTGGAATACAGTATTTTAAAAGCATCGCCCTTTTACTCGTGACTCACGTAAAGGTTCTTACAAAAAACCCTAGCAATGAGCATATAAACCCAGGGCTTACGACCCAGATTTTACTGTATCAATAATATTTATATTATAAAGTTACCTGCAGCTGTTTATCAATCAGAGAGGGAAAAACCAAGCCAGGACTATCACACAGCCTAACCGTAGGAGTTAGGAATATGGTCTGGAAGTGCTTAGTGTGTCCTGGAGTCCGTGAAGTACTTACAACCTAATTATGAAAAAAAAATCAGTTCACAAATTTTGAACAATTTAATTCAAAATAAGGTAAGGCCACAGAAACATGAAACAGGCTCTAACTGAGGGATAATGAAGTTACTGTCTGTAGAATGAAACTACCTTTTTTCCAACCAGTCCATTCAATAATGAAGACTTTCCAACATTTGGTTGTCCTGTTAGAAATATAATGTTATTCACTATCTAGAAGTTCCAGATAGGGAAAACTGTGGGTGAGATCTTGAATATACAAACCGAGGCTGTTAGGCCAAGGATTGCTTTCAAGACCGTGCACTTRGTCTTTTCCTATTTATTTTACCAACTGATCAATACATTATTACACACATTATAATTACATTTTTACAAACCATTAGTTGACTGTTAGGCTCATCAACACATATGGAGAGCTAAATTGGGCATATCAAGTGCAATTACCATAATATATGCATGTATCCATGAACAAGAAATTGTACAAATTAAAGCAAAGTTTTGTGCGCTAATAGGGTCTACTGAACTTACTGCAATTTCTGCAAATTTCTTGCAAAGTTTTTCATGGATATAATATGGTAAAGCACTCTACCATAATATTTGTAAGGACTAAATAATTGTCTCATCAAAACTTGTTCAGACAAATTAAAATTGACACTGTCTTATCAAACTTTTTAAACCAACTTGAATAATGAGCATGTGCAGAAATTAAATATCTATCCAATTAAAACCAATGGGCAAATACTGACCAACCAGACCCAGAGTTAGTATAGATTCATTCCTGAGAATATCTTCACTTTTTGCATGGCTATCATCTTCCTCTGCACACAAAAGTAAATCAAATGCTCAGCATACATGTACATAGTCATAGGTTTATGGAAAAACAGTTTTCCTATAACTGTGTAAAAGCTGGTGCCRTATGCATACCTTGCTGCAGTGGTCATGTTTTCTTACTAGAATTTTAATTTGGGGATTTTTTTCTCCCTTAATGTGATTGGTCTGGCAGTTCCGTGACATTGGCGTGACCATGTCCAGGCCATGTTTATGCCGTGTTTAGGCATTTGATTGGATGGAGAGTAAATTCTCATCCAATATGATACAGTTGGTCTGGCATAATCCTTGCCRTGTCATGACCATGTTTGTGCTGTGAGCTTTGCACAGTCATATGAAAACTGTCAACCAGTATTATACAGTATTTGATAGTATTTGAAGACATATGTTTACTGTAGTTATGCATGTGCACAAGATTTTAACAGGAAACCAACATAATGATTTACTTTAATTGACTCAATTCAATGTGCCCAATTTTGCGCAAAAGACATGGTGATGTTTTTGAAGGATAGTGCAAGTCATGAAAAGATAAAATATAATATTAATTTATAGAAAGAATTTACGTCTAAATCACTATAAGGCTGTTTATTGTTGTAATTTCACTTCGCTTAACCTGCATGGACATAGACATTATAAAGCAAATAGAAATATTACTATGGGCAGGAATGAGTATTATTCACCTTCAGAATCATCAGAAAAGTTGTCATGATCATAATATGGTGATTCATCATCTTCTGATCCTCTGCTTTGACTTGCTATTTTCTCTTCCCAGCTGCTCAATTCAACTATTTAATTGTTTATAATCATTATTAATAATTATTGGGGATAATACAAGACATTGTAAGTACTACTTGTCTTATAGTACACTCAACAAAATTACTTGACTCTGATTAGTCAAGAGGAGGAATACCGAAATAAGTTGCTATGACAACACGGCCAAAACAATGTTAAAACAATTATTTTCTATCATTTTGTACTTAAAAACATATAAATAAAATCTTAAAGCCGTTACTAATCTTTTTTATGCATTTCAGTTGTGCAATGGACTGAAAATCAGCTGCCAAATAGAGATAAATGGCGTCGCTTCTCATTTTTTACTGAAGTTTTGTTGAGTGAACTATAAACAAAAAAATCGTTTGCAATTTGGAATTAATAGACACTCGTAATGTTTTGAAAGTTCTATACTAATTCTATGTAAACAGCATAATATACAATGTACCACTTCACCATGGCCTGACACTACTAAAAGTAAAATGTAAACTAAGCATCCTTAAGATGCCCTGTTGACTGTGACTGGTCAACATCCCTCTTTATTCCATATCAACAGCTAACCCTCACCTGGCCTTTGTGCTGCCAACGTTTTCTAAAGAAACGATATTGTGTAAGAGTTGACAAATTGTTGGCCAATTGTCAATCAAAATTCAGCCAATCGTCAATCAAAAGTCAGCCAATTGTCAACCAACAGTCAGCCAATTGTCAACCAACAGTCAGCCAATTGCCATCCAACAGTCAGCCAATTGTCAACCAACAGTTAGCCAATTGTCAACCAACAGTCAGCCAATTGCCATCCAACAGTCGGCCAATAATTGTCAACCAACAGTCAGCCAATTGCCATCCAACAGTCAGCCAACTGTCAACCATCACATGTTGGATGGTCATAAAGGCGCACATGATTGCTCAGAACAGAGAGTGACTATACATACCTCTATCTTTACAGATCTTTGAACACTCTTCAAGCAACTCTTGTGGACCAACAGCAAAACCACGCTTTTTTCTTCTCTTGGTCTTTCTTAAGACTATAATATATGAATTCATAAGTGACTCATTCAGATATTGCTATTAAAGAAATTTTATCAAACACGCTAAACGTTTGAAACCTTTTTCTTGGTGACTTTTTCTTTCACTTTCATCCTTGGGAAAGGATGTAAAGCATACAATGCTGACTTGATCATACTTTGATTTAAAGTAGTGTTTCCAAGCTACTACCAGTTCAGGATTTACCAAGTCAATCTAAATTAAAGAAATGAAATAATATCAAACAGTCTTCAAGTCACTATCTCAAAGGAACTGAAATTATGATTACTAATAAAACCTTGACTATCACCAATTATTTTGGCTTTTTTGTTTTGCCTTAATTCTCTAATCTGCAAAGGTCACCCAATGCATAACATTTACTCAATAATTTGAACAGCTTTTTGTATTTCTTAAAAAGCTTAGCAAAGGCTGTATTTTTTATTTGTTTTGAGAATATAGAATTCATGATTCCTAGTTATAATCATTGCTACTAATTATAAGATAGGATTGGATTCTCTGGCGAACTTTTACCATGCACTGGAAGTATACCCCGTGATGTATTACCATTAGTATAACATTGATGATGTCATGTACAAGTACAGTCAAAGACATGGATTATGGAAATATTCAAATACTGTAGACATCCAGAATATTAATATACAATAAAAAATACCTTATTCAGAGCTAAAATTACATGCTTGTTCAGATCATGAACTACATAGTTGTAAAGAGCTGGTGGGAAATGTAGGACCTAAAAAAGTTAACCAGGAGATGTTAAAGACTGGACAAAATTAGATAGAAAAAAATCATTCATTTGTTCAATGACATTCATTCTGACAAATATTAATAATAGATTCAGTTGAGCATCCAGAGATTTTAAGAGAATTTAAGCAAAAAGGCTACCACGGTGGTGCAGGCTTTCAACCCACTTTAGGAATTTTATATCAAATTAAAATAATTTCACTCATTCAGGTAACACTCAGGTAACTATTTATATTTTTAAATTGACATTTTCAATATTAATATCATTTAAATATTTACCGGAAATCTGACATCAGCAACAATAACAACAATATCTGAAACCTCCAGCACTCTCCAAAGCTGTCTCCATGTCTGCATGAATCAAAATATAAATTAGAATTTACTACTACTTATAGTAGAGAAAAATTAACTCAAGTTTTCATCATGACTTATCTATAAAGATACAGATTAAGATTTACCCTTCACCTTTAATTTTCTAATTGCAATGTGAGTTAATGTATAAGAAAGTATTAACTTTATATAGTCAAATAATAAGAAGAGATAACTAGCTAAATAATAACTAGTTAATAATACATGTTATCTTCTCAAAGTATCATTTTTCTTCTTTTTTACAGTCCTTTTCACATTACTTTTCCACGGTGGTGGGAAGGTCATTTGGTAGTTCCCAAGTTGGCAACAAACTTCGGAACTTCAAAATGAAATTCCAGTGCATGCTCTTTGAAATTCATAACATCTTGAATTGAGAAACTTGTCGGAAATGCTTTTCAAACTCAATTCCCAAGTTGGATTTTATCACAATACAAGGTATTTATCTTATTGACCTGTTTTGATATGGGTTTTGGAACATTTGAGGTTTTAAGATACAATTTCAGCAAAATTTTGAAATTTAGATGTAAGCCGTTCACGGTTCACTGAACTTCACTCGAGGTTCGGAAGTTCATTGCCAACTTAGGAACTTCTGAACTAACCTCCCAACCCACCACGGTAAAGTAATGTGAAAAGCACTGTAACATAAATAGCTCTCTTCTGACTTTAATGCCTCAAGGATGTCACATTAATATAAACAGAATATAACAATTATTATTTGAATAATTAAAATTACCTCAAGACTGCATTCAAAATAACTCAAATCAGAGCGGTCGTGCTCTGCATAAATCTTTTCTATGTACTGTTGAAACATCATTTCTTCATTCTTTTCTACTCTTTCTTTGGACATGCTGTAATCCCAAGGAGGCCTTTTTGGCATATCAAGAACTGAAAGTTTTCAACAAAAAGAACTTAGAGTTATTCTGATATCAAAAAAAGATTCATTCTGCTTAATTTTAAACCGTAATCTTGCTAACTTTGGTATTTATAATTATAAGGATAAAAAATTAATTAATTGTTATACTAAAATTATAGAGTGTACTAACCATCTGACATGGATATCTTTAGAGTTCAGTTGCCATTTTCCTTATATTAAAGTATAATCATTATAACTCAACAAATAGATTATTATAAGTAATATCTAAAAACTTAAAAATAGCACATTAAAAGTTTTGAAGTTCTAAAATTTTGTAAAAAGCAAAATTTACAAATGTTCTCTTAGGAATACAATGTTAGTACATGTTGCTGGTCATGGAAGTACAATATATTAATAACCAGGCACAGATCCATGAGTGGTAAAAGGGGTGACTAGTCACACCCCTCTTCCTCAAATTCCAGTTAAATTTTTTTAATAGCCACCCCCCTTCTAAAATTCCTGTATCTGCCCCTGATAACAGAGCAAAGATTGCCTTACCTGATCCAGGCCTGTAGACTTCTTCAATGGATTTTTCCAGCTCATTCTAGAATATATTTATTAGCAAATTTAGCAAAGGCATGATCAAATAGGTTACTCAAAATACTAATGTACATTAAAAATATAATGAATAATACGTACTGTACAAAGCATCTGCAAATTAACACAATCCTTTTTTAAATTACTCTATTCTGAAGCATACAACTGACATGGAATTAAGTAGTGTTTAAAAAACAAGTAGGAGTGTTTTATCAGGTATAAAAGCACGAAGCGTAGCCGAGTGCTTTTATACCTGATAAAATACGATCTACGAGTTTTTTGAACTGCTTAAAACAATCATGGACAATTTATAAGATTTTGGTTCAACTGGAGAGATTTGACGTAACGGGCATGCGCAACCAGATTCAATAGAAGCTCCCACACCTTGGATATTGTGTGCCAAGGCAAAGACAGGCATGTTAGTCAAAGATCATTAGGGTTGACTATGACCTTGATGAAGTTCTATGTCTTCATCTAAACTTGGATGCATACTTCATCCCTGATGAAGTCATCCTCATAGTATTCAAGTGGTCTTTATATAAAGATCACGTGTCTTTACATAAAGACACATGTGTCTTTATATAAAATCACTTGAATACTAATGAAGAGGACTTTATCGGGTATAAAGGTTCATGCACGTGACGTGTATGGTGGCTCCAATTGGACCATAAGCTTATGAATTATTAATGAGTGTTTTAATGGATTTTAGTTTCTTTTTAATGGATATTAAGATTTTCTTAGTGTGTAATCTTAGCATTAAAGTACATTTGACATGGTTATGATTATAATTATAAATTATTCTAATAATGTGTCAAAATAACAAGCATAAATAAGAACGATTTCAAGTTAAACATTGTTTGATAAGTTTGGAATAAGACAAAATTTATTTTATTAAATAGTCCACTTGGATATATTTTCTTCTCATGTCACACACAAAGGTTTCAATTATGTGAGGTTTTGTTTATGGGGGCTTTATTCAAGGGGGCAGCATGGTCAAGTGGTCATAGTATCAGTCTCGTAATCTGGAGGTGCCGGATTTAAGTCCCACTGTGGCCATTAGCTGAGATTCTATACTTGTCATGATTTCTGATTAGTTCAAGTTTGCCTCCTTGCCAATTGGCATTTTCAAAAACACTTTATGTTTCTATTTCTTCATTTCAGTTTATTCATTCTTGTAAGAGCATTGAGACTTTGTAGAATTATTATTGTTCATAATGCGCTGTGATTCGTGACAGGAGAAAAGAATTAAAGCAAGTAACCTCTAACTGAAACCTTTGCATAAGACAAGCAAAGTGTATCTCAGAAGTGGGCTATATATTTAATACATGAGTGGCCAATAAAGATGATTGGTTGTGACATTATTTAGCTAATAAGATATGGCTTGAGAATAGTCAAATAATGCTACTTTTTCATATATAATTATAACACAGTTATAAATACCTCAGCAACCCATATTATTGGCTCTCTAGCCTTCTGCTTCCTCTCCTCTATTTCTGCTCTCGACTCCTTCAGAAATCTAGTAAAATAAAATAGAAATAACCTTTATCCCTGGGCTGCCTGTGGTCTCTTAGTCTTGTACATGACAACATGCAATACTCACTTGTTTGGATCCCTTGATCCTTTCTGTGATGCTGGTTGACTGTGTAGCTGTATAGTCTGAAGACTGTCTTCTTCACCTTCAGAACTATTACTGTGTTCTGATGTTGCATGTTGTTTTGTTCTTGAGGGAGCTGCAATAAAATATGGGTAAATACACCTCTATTGCGTCTAAACTGTTAATAAATTTAGTTTTAGCTTTGTACATGTATACATTACTATACATATACGTACTATCTTTTTTGAATCAATTAATTCATATTATATTTTTGCATATATTAATATATATATATATTAGCACAGATATATGATTACCTAAGCTGATATTTTAACATGCAATGTACTTATGAATATTTTACCAGCACAGCCTTTTAAATTTTCCTGAAACTGAGGGGGAAAGGTAATAAACAATTAGACTGTCAGCCCAAATGGTCTGCAAGTTAATAGACTATAGGCTATATTGACTGGTAGACCATGAGGGCAAGATGTCTAATTGCTTATGTCTAAACCTACTCATCAGTCAAATAAATGCATGGATGCCAACTATTATGAAATGAGGTGGAGATTTATTTTTTTTGCATTATTTTGGTTTTGAAAACCTTTAACTACTATAGTGGTCTTTGACTAATACTAAGTTAGCTCAGTCTTCATCAGAGCTCAGGCCTTCAGCCTCATGGGCTATTGACTCGTACAATATTTGGGCTGTGAGTCTAATTGTTAAACCTCTGCAAGTAATGGCAGGTAGCTAAATCTAGCTTGTGAAAACTTAATTATTTTCACTGCTCAATATAAATAAAGCTCATGCATAACCTCTGGTACGTTATGTACGTAGCACATGCAGCTCAATCATTTACAGGACTAGCACTAACCATGCTATGTTTAATCTTTTCATTTTTTCTAAATATTTCTTTCATTGATAGTTTATTTCACAGTTTGGGATTTTTTATTCCCCCCCAAAAAATAGCGTTTCTTCACGTCTACACGTTAAATTATTAACCAGCATCAAATACCATCCTACAGTAGTCTCCCTCACAGGGAAACTAGGTTGCGAAGGACTATGCTCACCTTCCCCTCTCTTTTTCTGACGCTTTTCTAGAAGCTGCTTCTTCTTCTGTTTATTGCTGAAAGGCTTCTTTTTGGGCATGTTTAAAGAAAAGAAGTGTAAAACATTCCATAATAATACATGTCCCTCTCCTCCGCAGTTGAAGTCCTGTGGCTTGGTCAAATACCACAAGGCGTCACTAGGAGTTAAGGCGAAAAGACTGGGTCGAGGAACAGAGACGAGGCTACAAAATGGCGGTCGAAGTAAAACGTTTATGAATGTGTTTTGGAGTTGATTAGATTAGCATCGTTACTCGAATAATATGGTAGGGAAAAGCCAGTTGTTTTACTTTAAATTATGATTTCTTATTTACTTACGAAGTTTTCTTTCAGTCGGTAACGTTGCACACAGATGTTGGAGATTTAAAGATTGAATTGTACTGCGAAGAAACACCGAAAACGTGCGAGGTACGTCGAGTACAAACGAGTACAGTTTTGTTTCATCAACTTTATCCACTTTAAATCAATTGTAAATAATGTACTCTCTAATGAAAGAGGAAATTCTGATTGGCCGAATAAGGAACATGTTTGGCTAAAATTGCACATGAAGCCCATTACATTATAATATAGTTGGGAACAGGTTGTGTATCCACTTGTCATTTGCTTGTCTGGGTTAGGGTGCTAAGGGTGGTGAATTACGAATATAATAGTACGCTGTGAACAGGCTCTTGGCATAGGGGATAACGAAAAGAAAGGAAAGGAGAAAGATCTTGTTATCACTAATATATAAACACCACCTCAAGTACCAAGTGGTGCAGGTCAATGGGTTCCAGCTGAAAGAATGTGAAGGCACCTCTGGCAGCYGCTATGATATACAGTTCTTGAATGACCCCAGAAAACAGCTCTAACCAGTTTTAATTTGTTAGCGTTGATTTTGAGAGAAGGGAGGGAAAACTGGAGGGCCAAAAAACCCTCGTGTCAGGAAGAGAACCAACCATGGTCAACTCAGCTCACATGTGGCGACTGGGATTCAAACCCTGGACCTCAGAGGTCTGAGGCAAGCATTTTACCAGGCTCCCCTGGGTCCAGGAAGGGGAGGGGATCCTCTCTCCCTCTCTTAATTTTCTTGTCCACTCCGTTTAAAGTACATAACATATACATGTAGAATCTGTGGTGAGACTAATTTCACTCATACTGTACCTTGTTTTTTTTTAGAATTTTTTAGCTTTATGTGCTAGTAATTATTATGACAACTGCATCTTTCACAGGTAAGATAATCCCATCCAGCAACCAACCCCCCCCCCTCCCCCC